GGTGTCTCTTGGTCTGAAATACTCTCTGATACAATAATTCCCCCTTGAGAAAAGGAAACAGGCCAAGGTCCCAGGATGAAATAGTCAAATAACATCCACAAGTCTTGTGATCACATATGAAATACAAGAGCTCTGTGCATAGCATAGTGAAAGTTGCCTGTTGTCACTGTCTTTGCTTCAGGAGGTCGTACCAGACTCCACTGATGGTTTCTGGCAGAGTCTGTTTGGGGTTCTTCCTGGGGAAGTAGGTGTGGAAAACCAGACAGATGGCTCAGTGGCTGTAGTCTTCAGTCTCAGGAAAAGGAAATGGAGTTCAAGGCCATGTGCATTGTTGCTAGATCTGGGGAGAACACGGTCTTCGGCTCCCTCCAGAGCCATGTTGGCACTTTGGCATTCAGACTGGTTATTAAACATTCTTCATACTGTTTGAAGTTTTAGACCTTTAACCATTCTTCATACTGTTTGAAGAAGCTACAATTAACATCTCCCAGGCAGCTCAGAACTTGGTTGCTAGGCAGCAGACCTTTAAAGACAATTTGTCATTTTCTGCCATAAGAGAAAAAATAGTAAACATTCACATTCTTGGAAAATTGCTTGTTTTCCAACTTCCAACTTTCTCGCCATGACAAGGCCTCCAGTTCATCAGCGTCCATTTTATTCTTTATTTAGTTTTCATAAATAATTCAAAGGCATTTTAGAAGAGTAATTGAGCTTCTTTCAAGCATAACCTCTGGCTGTTTAGAACAAAAAGGATGTTTGGGTGATAGTGGGGTTGCCATATTTGTGGACAGGTTTTATATAAATGCACAGAGGCTCCTTTGGAAGGTACAGAGTACCAAGGTGCCCAGCTTATATGTAGCCTTGGGCAGTAACCCAAGAAAGTGGTGGTAGATTCGTGAAAGACTTTTGAGTCATTCAGCCTTTGTTGGCACCTTGCATGTGCTAGGCCCTATGTACACTATTGGGCCCCAGCCTGTGACCCAGCTGGACCTCACTGAACTCACCTCCTTCATGTGGGGGCTATGGAGTAGGAAACCAGGGGATTCCAATACAGGACCTGTGGGAGTTCACAGGAAGCCCAGAACCCAGCCTGGGATCCAGGAAGGTTTCCCAGAGCACATGTGGACCCGTCTGAGACCTCCAAGATGAAACAGGCCAGCCCCACTTTGGCAAGAGAGAAGAGCGTCCCAGCAGCGTCCTCCCATGTGCCAAGAGTGAAAAGTGCTCAGGAGACTGAAGTGTATTTGTGTGGCCACAGGGCCTGGTAGGCCCTACAGCTCAGCCTGAGGGAACAGTGGAAGGCCATTCAAGGGCTTGGAGTTTGCAAAGGCCACCATCTAATTTACATAGTCCAGCCTTTGGGGAAGCTATCTGATTTGGCTTCTGTGCAGGCAATGAGCAAGTGGCCAAAAGAGGCAGAGGGGCTGTGGGGGGAGTGTTGGGTGGCTCATGGCCTAGGATCCTGTGCCACTTGCAGCGTATAGGACCTTGTGTAGGTTATTTAACTAACTTTAGTTTCAGAATAGGGATGATGGTAGCATCTACCTCACAGAGTTAGTGTAAGGACTCAAATTAATTGAAGAACTGCCTTTAGACTGGTGCTGAATACCCAGTGCTCCTTAAGTGCTGGCTGCTACTATTAGGATAGTGCTCCCCTGCCTGAATTTCCATCAGTCCCCTGCCCAAAAGGACCACTGTGTCCAGTCTGCCACCTGCTACCTAAGTGACCTAGGATGAAACTTGGAACTGTCTTGGGGCTAGACTCTCTCTCTCTCTCTCTCTCTCCCCCCCCCATTTCTCTCTCCCTCCTGAATCTCTGATCCAGTTGAGCCTGGGATCCCTTCCTGCAGAGTTCTAGTGCCACTCCTGTTCCTACCTCAGGGCCACCTCTCCCCTGCTGGTGTGGCTTGGCATTCTGGCTTCCCAGACTCCAGCTTGGGTAGTGTGCTGGTCCTTGGGCTTTGAGCCCTGCTTGGGGATTTCAACTCTGCATATATCCGTGAGGTATCTCACCCTGTTAGTGCGTGTTCAAAAAGCTCTGCCAAGGGGCGCCTGAGTGGCTCAGTCAGTTATGCGTCCGACTTCAGCTCAGGTCACGATCTCGCGGTCTGTGAGTTCGAGCCCCGCGTCGGGCTCTGTGTTGACAGCTCAGAGCCTGGAGCCTGCTTCCGATTCTGTGTCTCCCTCTCTCTCTCTGCCCCTCCCCCGTTCGTGCTCTGTCTCTCTCTGTCTCAAAAATAAAAAACGTTAAAAAAAAAAAAAGCTCTCCCAAGGAGCCAGCTGGGGGTCTCAGACTCCTCAGATAATTCCCCAGAGTGGGCCATTCATTCATTCTTGCATTCATTCATTTCATCACTATTTACTGAACACCTGCTATGTGGCAGTCTTTATGCCAGGCACTGAGAACATAGCAGAACACAGGACTGCTTTGGCAGGGGAGATGGCAAGAAACAAACCACAGGAGCACACCAGTTAATTGTGGGGGTGTTAAGTGCTGGGACGAGAGGCAGGATGACAGGGTGGAACATGGCTCTGTGGGGCAGTTGGTGCTCCCTGAATCAAGGTGATCAGGGAAAGGAATCCTGAAAGAGATGATGCTTATACTATAGCGCAGGATGAGAGAACTGCAAAAGGTTTCAGGCTTACCCGTGCCTTTTTGGAGGGGCACTTAGTGACCGTAGTGAAGGGTTGATTTCTGGAGCAAGGTGATACGCCCTCCTGGGTGGGAGGCTCCCCATGGCATTGGAGTGACAGGGCTTCGACCTATACCACTTGGCTTACCTGGATCAGGAGAATTTGGAGGCAGTGATGAGCTGACTATGGGTTCCATTCACCCCACCAGGTCCTGTCCTGGGGCCCAGAGGGGAATAGCCCAGCTCCAGCCCTGCTGGGCTCGTAAGAGGCCTTAGCTGGGAAAGACCCATGCCAGCAAAGGGGGACTTGTGAAAGACAGACAACACAGAAGCACCTACTGCCTGAGTTTGTGTTCTTGTATCAGCTGCCTTACTGCTTGCTAATAAGATATGCAAATTATCAGGGCTGTGAAATCTTCCCCACATTTCATCTTCTGCTTAATTAGCATTTAATCATAATCTCATTTTAATTTTTTCACACTGGCACCCTAATTAAATGTTAGGGTGTTAGTCTTAACAATTAAATTATATTGGCAAATAGAGTCTTCAAGAAACTTGACCTTTTTCAAGCCAGGGCGCTCTCTAGCTAGATGCAAATGTTAATTAGATTTCTGGACGATGTTGCCTCAAGCCCCCTTGGTGCACCCATTTCAGTTGTTTTCTTGCTGTTGTGGCCCTAGATTCAAATGAGACACACACAGCCAAGTGATTTGGGCCCCTGGCAGGCAGAGGTTGCCACTGAACGGGTTGGTCATGAACCCCTGGAAGGCCAGTGATGCTGGTTTTTCTGGGGAGTGTTTGGTTTGGAATTTGGTCATAGGCCTAGAAAACTCATTGAAGTGGTTTCTCAACTTGTGATTCTGATTTGATAATCACTGGGAAAGTTGGTGCCTAAGCAAGTCACATAGTGTCTGGAGCTGCCACCAGGTCCTGCAATATCCCTTTGTGGGAGGCCACAGTGAGGTCAGGCAACTGGGCAAGAGAGGCATTTGCTGGTGTCAGCTGGGGCTGGGCTTGGAGACTGTTCCAGGGTGGAAGGCAGGGAGTTGGAGTTGGGGGGGTGGGCAACAGACAGAACATTGGGAAAAGCAGATTCCCCCTGAGTTACCTGTAGCCCAGAAGAAAACCAGAGCATGAGGGTGCAGACATTCATGGCCTGGTCCTGAGAAGTTTTGGATGGGCTTGACTAAGAAGGAATGCAACCTTCTCTTCTTCTTACTCTGTCACACACAGAGGATGGCACTTTGTTGCCCCGGCTGAGCAGGAGACACAGTGTCCTTGTTCTTGAGGGACGTTGGAGTCCCTGGCTCATGGGAAGCTATTCTCTGAGCTGCCCCTGGGGACTGGCCTCTCCCTCAGCTACTTATGTAAGATTCTGATATTTGCCTGGGGTTGGTGCCCTGTACTTCTTCACACCTCCATTTGAGCCTGTGGTTGCAGTACTAACATAACTTTAAGTTTTTATTTATTGATTTTGAGAGAGAGAGAGAGAGAGAGATTGAGGACATGAGCAGGGGAAGGGCAAAGAGAGAGAATCCCAAGCAGGTTCCATGCCATTAGTTCAGGGTCTTGTACTCAGTACCATGAGATCATGGTCAGACGCCTAACTGACTGAGCCACACAGGCGTGCCCCCACCCCCAGCTTTTTTAAGTTTTTATTTATTTATTTAAAAAAATTTTTTTTAATGTTTATTACTTTTGAGAGAGAGGGACAGAGCAGGGGAGGGCCAGAGAGAAAGGGAGACACAGAATCTCAAACAGGTTCCAGGCTCTAGCTGTCAGCACAGAGCCTGACACGGGGTTCGAATTCACAAATCATGAGATCATGACCAGAGCTGAAGTCGGCCGCTTAACTGAGGCACCCAGGCACCCCTTTATTTATTTATTTATTTATTTATTTATTTATTTATTTATTTATTTTGAGAGAGATTGAGGACATGAGCAATGGAGCGTAATTTTAAACCTTCAGTAGAAATTCCCCAAGCAGTCACTTAATGGCAGTATTGCATTCACAGAAGCCTTCCTGCCATCTGATTTTTCCCTTAGGTTTTTGGCCTTTCTCAGCAAGTTTTTCCTCTTCCCTGAGTTCCACTCCCATCCATCATTCAAACTCTGTTCTTTAACAGATCAGAACACAGGTGAATTCCGTTCAGCACATTTATTGAACATCTCTGTGCAGAGCCCTGTGCTGAGTTCAGGGAAGGTGTGTTAATGTAATTATTGCTTTTGTGTTGGCTTCTTACTTTGAAGTAAAGTGGGGGCAGTGCGGTGCGGACAGAAAGCCCACTGGAGTTGCATTTGCCTTTTCCTGCCCTGGCTGTGGAGCAGACCACCCTGAGGCACTCTTTCCATTCCTGCTCCTGACAGGTGTTCCGGACAGACTTGATCACAGCCATGAAGATTCCAGATTCCTGCCAGCTCAGCCCGGATGACTACTACATCCTGGCCGACCCATGGCGACAAGAATGGGAGAAGGGCGTGCAGGTGCCGGCTGGAGCAGAGGCCATTCCAGAGCCTGTGGTGAGGTAAGTTGGGCATTCCAGGCTGGGAGACCCTAGACAGGGGAGGCTGGGACAAGGGACCTTTGTAGCCTGTCTCTGTTCTTAGATTCTTTGGTCCCACAAACCATTGAAAATTTCCAGAAATACTGGCAGTTTGCCTTTGAGGCTGAGGGCCCAGACTTGGGTTCAGCTCTGGAGCCAGATGGCTTAGGTTCAAATTGCCACTCACATTCAGTCTGACATTGGGCCAGAAACATAACCTCCCTGGGCCTTGGTCTTCTTGTCTGTGAAATGGGAATGACGATGGTACATCTACCCCCTATGGTGGTTGAGATGACATAGGGAAACGACGCCTGGAAGACATTTGGCATGGGACCTGGCTCACGCAAGCACTCAGTAAAAACAGGCCATGAGTTGTCTTCACATCAGTCCCAACTGGGTCCCACAAGCAGGTCTTATCTGGGAAATCTCCAGGCTTTTAAATAGTCTTTAAGTCAGGAATAAGCCATGCTCTTGACTTGTTAACTCCTTTTTGAGAGTTCTAAGTGGGAGGGAGTTGAATGCTGACACACAGCAGATGCTCCGGAAGCAGTTGCTTCCGGAATCCCAGGAGGATTCCCTGCCAGGGCAAGGTAGGAGCTAGGTCAGGGTATATCCTCTCCAGGCTTTGTAGCCTTCAGGTCTTGTGGATCACAGAGACCCGTGGTGCCTCATGACTGTGGCCTTGCCTCCAGCAACAGAGGTCAGCCAAGTGATGCTTTCTGCATGCTACAAAATCCTCTAAGTCATGTCTCTGGGTAGAGGGACCTGATGTCCTGACCTCCCCAGCCCACCGGCACTCTTGGCCTTGGCAGCCCCATAGCTCTCACTTAGGCCCATTTTGACCAGGCCTGGGGCAAAGATTCCAGCCCTGACCTCCCTTGACATTGGCACTGTTGCTTTCCAGTAGCCACACCTATGAGTGCCCGCCTGGTGCCAGACCTGTGCTGGACATGGAATTACAGAGGCAGATAAGACTCTGAATGCTGCTTATGTGCTCTGTGAGGACCGGGGGCTGGGCAGAGCTCATCCTGTGGCTGCTGAGGGCTGAGTGCTGGGCCCTCTGACAGTCAGGGAAGCTCTAGTATTCTCTGGAAGGGAGAATATGTGGGATTTGGAGAGGAAATGTATTCTCCACATCCCCTCCCCAGGGCCAGAAATGTGGATTAAGCTCCTAGCCAGTTTGACACCTTTACATCTGCAGACTGTGCAGACTGAAGAACTACCACTAACCTATTTGAACTAGTTTTCTCCTCTGTAAAATGGACCCGATAACAGTAGCTGCCTAATGGTGTGGCAGGGATGAAATGAGAATACACACGGCAAGGGCCCAGGGCAGTAAAGGGGAGGGGCAGGCCACCAGCTGGGCCGAGAGGGGATTCCTGATTAGGCTTGGCCCAGCTGTCTGTCCTCCCTCCTCGATGTCAATGTCAGGTGGTTCCGGAAACATCCAATGGCCTGGGTAATTAATTGCAGATGCTTCCACACCAGTAGCTTGGCTTCTGTCTGCCTGCGTGGTGCTTTATCTGTTGACATCAAGAGGAGAGCACGTGTTCAGACTGCTCTGGCTTTTCTAGGTGCATTCCCTGCATATGCTCAGCTGCTCTAAGCTGACAGGAGCCAGGCACTCCCCTCCTGTCTGTGCTCTTTGGAGAGGATAGACTAGAGGTAGGGAGGGGCTGTTTCCTTTGCAAAGTCTTCCCTATCTCCCTCCAGCCCAGTCCCACCATCTTCCAGGGCACCTCCCATTGCAAGGCCCTTATCTGGAAGCCAGCACAGCAACCACCATGGTCAGAACTATTAACAGCAGTGCTTCCTGAGGATTCACTGTGCTGAGCCTGCTATGTTCATCTTCTCATTTAATTACCATATCAGCCCTATAAAGTACATCTTACTGTCCCCATTTGATAGATGAGGAAGTTGGGAAATTCTGGGGAATTCCCTGTATGACCGCCAGGGCCTAGTGGGCTGGGCCAGGAAGTCACAAGCCAAGGGAACAAGCACTGGGTTGCCCCTGTGAGGCCCAGAGAGAGGCTGTGCCCCCATCACGCTGTCATGCTGGCTTTCATTGCTATTTCCCCACTGCTACCCCAGCCCCCTCTGTCTCCCTTTTTGTCCATTCTTCCCTGGCCCTTTGGCAGGTCTGCCTACCTCATGGTCTGAAATTTATATGGGTAATGAGAACCTGTCTCAACCCCTGATCATGAATTGAGTGATGGCCTGTGCTGCTTCCTCATTGTATCCAGAAGATTCAACCTAGGGCAAAACCAGCCTCTGGTGTAGGTATAGGCTTTTGAAGTAGAGACCCTCCCCCAGATCCCAGCCCAGGCCATCTGCCTTCTTCAGCTGATCTGTGTCCTGCTAGCTAACAGTTGAGACTGAGACCTTGGCTTAGGGTCAGGTGATCCCCAGCTGGTAGAGATAGCTTCTTCCATAGCCAGAGCCAGAAGAGGTGTAACACTTGAGGATGAGATCCCCAGGAAACACAGGAAATGCCTTTTCTGGTGTGAGCCCCTTAACCCTAGATTCTCAGAGAAAGAAAGGAACTTTCTGACTGAGAACACAGGTGTCGGTAGTTACACCAGTAGGTAGTAGGGCACTCTAAGGTTATATCCAAAACTTCATTGAGCATACGCTGGGGACACAAAGTAGCATCAAGACAAAATTAGTCTATGTTTCTAAAAGAATGTATTAATTCCAGTAAGATCTTTGTGAGGAAAAGCAGGATTTTATAGGACTAAGAGTATCAGTATTACATCTATTTGGAATGACCTATTTTACAGGAGGGGCTGGATGGAGTCACCATTAGTCATTACCTGAGGCCTTCCTTAATCTGGGCCTCTCGTGTGGGAAAAGGTGGCACCAAGCACTTTCCCTTTCTCCTTACTCCCCCCAACCTTCTCTGAGCCTCCCTCCAGGTCTGGAGGCCATTTTCGCTTGTCTCCTTCATCCTTCCTGCCCCCTCTGGCTGACACCTGGGGCATGTCCTGGAGCCCAGGAGTCCTCCCCATAGCTCAGCCATGTCCCTGTGCCATCCTGCCCTCCCCTCTCGTGTCTGCGCTGAGTCACAACCCCTGGCAGCCCTGCCTTCGACCCCAGGAGGCTCCTCGGGCAAGTGAGGGCCTCTCAGCCCCTGGGAGGGCTGGCCAGATGGAAGCCAGGCTCCACAGCAATAACCATGGCAACCGGTGGAGGGTGGGAAGAGCTGGCATTTTGAACTGGCATCAGGAACTGAGGGGCAGCACACAGCTGAGCCAAGAGGGGGAACTATGCCCTCCCCAGATAAAAAGCCCTCCAGTTCCATCTCAGAAGGAGCAAAGTGATATCTAGAGGTCTTAAAATACACACTCACACACCTGTAGTGCTTACTGTGTGCCAGGCACTGTTGTAAGAGCTTTCCACATATTCATCCATTTAGTTCTTATCAACCATAGAAAGTAAGTACTGTTATTATTAGCTTATTTTTTTGGATGAGGTCACTGGTCACAGACAGGTTGGGCAGCTTGCCCAGATTACACAGTAAGTGGTAGATCAGGGGGCTCCTGGCTGGCTCAGTCGGTAGAGCATGCGACTCTTGATCTTAGGGTTGTGAGTTCTAGCCCCACGTTGGGGGTAGAGTTTACTTAAAAAACATATAGTGTATCAGGACTTTGGGTCCACATTTTGCAGCCAGGACCCTTCAAATGTAGCTGCCTCAGGGAGAGCCATGACCCAAGGGAGGGCTGCCCTGGAGTATGATTCTGGGACCCATCCTTACTTATATCCAGGGGAGGAGGCCTCCATCTCGCAGTGGGGGAGGGGACACCATGGTGAGAGACTGACTGCTCAGGTTATGTCATATTCGAGGGAATGATAAGGTGTGTGGGAGACACTGTCTTCTGGGAGTGTAGACCCTTTATGTGAAAAGGGCCACCGTGAGCTACAGCAGTGTACCCAGGTGAGGCTCCTTCTCACCCTAGAGGAGACCCGGCCTCACTTTCCCCTGTGGGGACATGGGGATATTCTTGGCCTGTCCCTAGTCTTAAGGGGTATGCTGAAGGACCTGAAGCCCCACTGGCTCTTTCCCCCTTGTCCCACAGTGGCTAGCACTGGGCATTGCCCAGTGAGAGCACATAGGCTGACTCCTATAGGCCCAGGCGGGGCAGATCTAGATTATGGAGCTTTAGCTAAGGCCCACATGCCTTCATGAGAGGACCAGTAGAGTGCTCTGGGCAGAATGGATGTTTATGGGATGTGCAGGACAATAGGTCAGCACCCACTCCCCACCCACACTCTGCCCTTTGGTCTGCTCTCCTGCTTACCCATAGTGCTTTGAGTCTCTGCAGGGTGGGCAGGCAAGAAGAGGTAGTATAAGGAAGTAGCATCAAAAAATCACACTTGTCCAGCAGCTCCTCATCTGGGCTGGTCGACTCACTGGAGGCTGCCAGACCCAGTAAGGCTGGCAGGCTGAGGATCCCTCCCCTCATAATACCCTCTCTTGATTTCCTAGGATTCTCCCGCCGCTGGAAGGCCCCCCTACCCAGGTGTCCCCTAGCAGCTCTGAACTTGGTGAGGGCTCCCAGCCTGATTGGCCTGGGGGCAGCCGCTATGACCTGGACGAGATTGATGCCTATTGGCTGGAGCTTATCAACTCCGAGCTCAAGGAGATGGGTAGGTGACCTGCCAGGCTAAGAGTGGGATTGGGGCAGGTCAGGCAGAGTTTTCTTCTGAATGCCACCCTCAGAAAGGTAGTGGGCACAACTGGGCTTTGGCACTGCATAGATAGGAGAAAGTCCCCGCCGTATTACTGATTGATTGGAGAAGTTATTTGGTGTGTCTGTGCCTCATTTTCTGTAGCTGTCAGGTGAGTGCACTAATAGCATGCAATTTCCAGAGTTCTTGAGAATATTGTTAGTAAGCCTGACTATTAGACAAAGAGTAAGTGAACACATTAATGAGTCTAGGATGATAAATGAGGCTGAGGACAGTTGATGTGGGCCACTAGTATCTCCTAGGAAGGTTGCCCCGAGCCCCCTGCCATACACACAATTCAAGCAGTGGATTCTGCATGCACACAGCTGTACCCCAGAGATACTTCTGTGTTATCTGCATGTACACGTGTATGTGGTCACAAGCAGGGTGTCTAAAGTCAGAACACCATAACCAGCCCCAGGGGTCTTTGAGATTGAATGGTCCAGCCCATTCTGTTTCCAGATATGGAGCTGAGGCCCACGACAGTGGGTGCATTTTCCCAAGTCGCACAGTAAGTGGGTGGAGACCCATCCACACGTCTGCCCTGATAGACCAGGCTCCTAACACCCTCCCCTGCTGTCCTCACAGAGAGGCCAGAGCTGGATGAGCTGACGCTAGAGCGTGTGCTGGAGGAGTTGGAAACCCAGTGCCACCAGAATATGGCACGGGCCATTGAGACACAGGAGGGGTTGGGCATTGAGTATGATGAGGACGTCGTCTGTGATGTGTGCCGTTCTCCCGAGGGCGAAGATGGCAACGAGATGGTCTTCTGTGACAAATGCAATGTCTGTGTGCACCAGGTGGGCATCCTCTCAATCGTTCTCCTCCATGCTGCTTGGCCAGGCTGCTGCCTAGAACTGGTCATTCTCGCTGTAGGAATGCAGTAGCACTGTGGGCGTAGGCCCCTGAGAAGGGCAAGGGAGGAGGAGGGAACGGAATGAGTGCCCCATGGCTCAGTTCTGTCAGCCAGACTGGAGTGAATGTCCACTGGGTTCTCTTTCCATCCATTTCCTGTGGGCCTCCATCAAATCCCCTCACTGAACATCCTACCCCCTGCCTCCGTGCCCCTCTTCCTCTGCTCCTCACCGTCCTGAACTTCTAAACAGGCAGCACCGTGCAGTGATGGAGAGCAAAGCCTGCAGCCAGGGTTCCTGATTTCAAATTGTGGCCCTGCCCTTTACAAACTATGTGACTTTGGGTAATTTCTTAATCTCTGTGGACCTCTATTTTCTCAGCTACAGATAAAAGTAATTTCTTGTGACGACTAAGATACTTCTAACGAGCTATTTGCTGAGAACAGTATAGTATGAGCTATAAGTATTTATCATTATTGATGTTATAAATCAGGAGTTGCCTGACATGCCCCCTCTTGATCTTGGGCCCCAAAGCTCCCAGGTGTGGGGTGTTTCTGGGCTTTGTTTATAGAAGACTTGACTGGAACCCAGTGGATCCACTCTAGCACACACACACGCACACACACATCTCCTTAGCCACCGGTTCTGAAATATTTCCTAGGGAGCTCAGAGGGGCTTCATCACTTGTCTGTGTACCCCCCATTCATTCTTATCCTTATACCCAGTAGCTCTTAGGTCCATAAGCCCTAGGCATGACCAGGAGGAGCCCCCTTCACAAATCTCTATGAAAAAAAGTAGAAAGCTCTGGGCCTTGTCCTCAGGCCTCATAACATACCCAAATGTATGTTCAACTTGCAGGAGTTCATAGACACTTCTGAAATCCATCACTCACTAGGAATCTCTGGCCAAAGTGACTTTCTTCCCAACAGAGGGCAGAGCTGAGCCCTTCCACAGAGGACTGGCATCTTTGCCTTAGAATCCTTCTGGAGGCCTCCTTACCAGAGCCTACTAGCAGTGTGGCCCTGTAGCTTCTAGCTCGGGCTGGGGCTGAGACCATATGCAGCTGAACCCTGACCAGACGCAGATGGCCATTGCATCTGACTTGTGACCACTCTGCTCTCTTCCCAGGCATGCTACGGGATCCTCAAGGTGCCCACGGGCAGCTGGCTGTGCCGGACATGTGCCCTGGGTGTCCAGCCAAAGTGCCTGCTCTGCCCCAAGCGAGGAGGAGCCTTGAAGCCCACCAGGAGCGGGACCAAGTGGGTGCACGTCAGCTGCGCTCTGTGGATTCCTGAGGTGGGCAGACATGGGGATGGGGCAGCCCTGGATAAGAGGGTCTGCTACCAGAACTCTGGTAGCAGAGCACTGGGAAAGAAGGCCACAGGTTTGCATAAAAAGGGATATCTCACGTGGCACCTGAGAAGAACTGGGGCAGCGACCCACAGAGAGCTTTGCCTGTGGACTTGGACAGAACTCAGGTGGTAGTTTCTATGGGTAAATGGGATTATGGACACTAGGGGATCCAGGTGGTAGGTCTGAGAGCTGGGCAGATGCCAGGCCACGGAGTAGAGGTGAAAGCATGTTGTGGGTCCTTCCAAATCCAGGCAGTGGTTCCAACCAGTGTCATACCCCCTGTTTAAAACAAAAATAAGCCAGCTGACCTAAAAGGAAATCAGGCAATCAGGCAGAGAGCTCATTAGAAGTGGATAGCTAACTGGCTGGGATGGAGGGGTCAGCCTGGGTCTGAGTCTGGGTAGAGGGGGACTGTGGGCAACAGGCTTTGCCCACTCTGAGTTAGAAGAAGCCCTGAGCTCCTGGAAGGTCATGGTCTTTTATTTGAAATATGAAATGCTGACATTCACCAGAGTTTCTGACCCAGCCCTGCTGTGTTCCCGGACTCAGAATAAAGCCCCACTCTGATGCTGCCTTTGCCTGGAAGCAAGCCAGGTGGCCCTGTCAGCAGATGCCCCTCCCCTTCGCGGGCTTCTAGTCTGAATGTTCTTGCAGGGACCCACATTGTGGGCTTCTGTGGTGATAGTGATTGTGTTGACAGTGGTATCTTTCTCCCAGATCAACATCTTGAAAGCTGGGACTACCTCTGAGTGTACCCTGGGCTGGGCACAGCGGAGACAGGCAGAACCAACAAGGATTTCTCCCCACCGTGGGGGCCCTTTGGTTTAGGACCTCTGGACAAGAGCCCTTCCTCTATCTTCAGACATGGGCAGTAGGGAGGCCAATGCACCCTCTGGGTCTAAGAGGTGGGCTGTGCCCAGAAGACTTAGGCATGGTTGTTGGTTTCTCCCCATAGGAGGGATAGGAAGAGCTAAATAAAGGCACATCCCTATTGGCCAGGAAAGCTCTGGAAGCCCCCAAGAAAAAATGCTGCTTTGGGGTATTTACTTGTTGCCCAGAAACATAAATTAAATATATACATGTTATAATAAGTAATCTTTGTGCACGCACACACACGTACACAGTTACACAGACTGCTGTGCACTCTCATACACAGTCACAGTTTAAGACTAGTCACAGGTGAGGAAACGCTAACACACTCAGTGGTCAGCCTGGGATAGTCATGAAGGTCTTGTGATTCAGGGGCTCTCCCATTGCCCTGTGCACACACTGCCTGGTTTCAGCAGACACCTCCCATTTGGGGGATCCCTAGAGGCAGGCTGGGGATGAGAGGTCTGATGCAGCTCCCTGTGTCCTGCCTAGGTCAGCATCGGGTGCCCTGAGAAGATGGAGCCCATCACCAAGATCTCACATATCCCAGCCAGTCGCTGGGCTCTGTCGTGCAGCCTTTGCAAGGAGTGCACAGGCACCTGCATCCAGGTACGTGGCCCGTTCACCTGCTGTCGCCCAGGAGGTCTCCTGCGTATACCATCTGCTTAGAGGGGTGCTTCTGGGACCCTCTGGAAAACACACAGCTGCCACCACCCCCACCCTACTCCCATAGTGCTATAGACAGAACCATTGATGGGCCATGGAGGCCTGGGACTGGAGCCAGACTCAGAACCTCACCTGAGAGGCATTCCTCCATCCCCAGTCCCTCTGGGCACGGGGTAGAGTGCAGAAGCAAAGGCTCACCACATCACTGCATTCCGAAGGATTCTGGCTTTCCCAAAGAGCGACTGTCTTTGGGGTTAATAAATACAATGACCTCACATCTGACATCAAACATGTGGGAGGGGTAGGAAACACTTTTCGTCCAGCTGAGCTAATAGGCTCTCCCCAAACAGGACAGGGCTGCACCAGTCTTTCCACAGCATTGGTTCCCACATTCTGGTGTGCGTCAGTAATACCTGGAGAGCTTGTTAAAACACGCATTTCTGGGCCTATCCCCAGAGGACCTGTTTCAGTAGATCAAGAATGGGCTGAGAATTTGCTTTTCCAGCAAGTTCCCAGGTGACCCGATGCTGCTGGTCTACAGACTGGAAAGTGGGGGTCATCCTTTGTCCTTCTTTCTCTAGCAACAGTTGTCATTGCAAACACTAGATGTGCCTCCACCCATTCGTAAGACTTTCAAAATGACTTGTGAGTGCGACATAAGTGGTCGTTAATAGTTGGGTGGGGTATTCCTGAAACATTTATCAGTTGATCACAGCCATCATCCGAGGCTGTGAGGGAGGAGCAGTCCCTGAGTCGGCCCTAGCTGCCTGGACAAGAGAAGGAAGGGGTCCCTGTCCAGCACCTCTTCCCAGAGGACAAAGGAGGGACATGATTCCCCATCTAAGATGATGTTGCAGAAAGGAGGCAGTGACCCACCACCAGCCTTTCTTTTGATGCCTCTTGTTCCAAAGTCATTTTGCCCACATAGTTATGCAGCTTAATCCCCAAAGGATTGTCAAATCACCTGACCATTTCCCCAGGATATATGGGGCTGAAACCCATTTCCTCTCAGGCTCCCCCAGAGTTCCCCCTTCCCACATACCACAGCTCCTTCCATACCCACAGGATGTTGGGGGTCCATGCCATTTTATATAGGGTCTCACCAGCATCCTGGGTTCTCAGTGGAACCCTGGAGAGTGGCCTACATCCTTCTTCCTTCCTACCAGGGCTCCCTTCATGCCTGACATTTCCCCTCCTCTCCCTCTAGTGCTCCATGCCTTCCTGTGTCACAGCATTTCACGTCACATGCGCCTTTGACCATGGCCTGGAAATGCGGACTATATTAGCGGACAATGACGAGGTCAAGTTCAAGTCATTCTGCCAGGAGCACAGTGACGGGGGCCCTCGGGGTGAGCCCACTTCTGATCCCGTGGAGCCCAGCTCAGCTGGTGAGGACCTGGAGAAGGTGACCCTACGCAAACAGCGGCTGCAGCAGCTAGAGGAAGACTTCTACGAGCTGGTGGAGCCCGCTGAGGTGGCTGAGCGGCTGGAGCTAGCTGAGGCGCTGGTTGACTTTATCTACCAGTACTGGAAACTGAAGAGGAAAGCCAACGCCAATCAGCCACTGCTGAGCCCCAAGACTGACGAGGTGGACAACCTGGCCCAGCAGGAGCAGGACGTCCTATACCGCCGCCTGAAGCTCTTCACACACCTGCGGCAGGACTTGGAGAGGGTGAGTCCCCCTGTCACTTTTCCACCTGCCGGCCTGTCTGGTGGGCATCCTAGGAGGTCTTTCCACCCCATGTACACCGCCCTACAGCAGCCATGGCTCTCCAACTCCAAATGGTGATGTCTGGCCAAGGGGCTGAGGGCTTCCAGTTCCCTGACAAGGTGGGGGTAACTTATACTATGCAGAACAGGGAAGCCTCTAGCCCTTGGATCTCTGAGCCCTTCTTGTCCCAACCCTTTTATGGGCCTGAATGGTAGGGGCCCTGCTGTGTTCCTGAGGCTCTAGGGCATCAGACCTGGGGCACAACCCAGGCTTCGAGCTTCTGTTGGTTTCTGTCCCCATTTGTAGCCTGTTCCCAACACATGAACTTCAGCTTGGAATCAGGCAGGGGAGAAACTGGGAATTGCAGCAAGTTTTATCAGCCCACTAGGCATGTTCTGGACCAGGGCAAGGAAAACAGGTATTAACGTGGGGCGTGGGGGCATATGGGTGGGCTGGAGACACAGTCAGCCTGTGTGGAATAGAAGGATGAAGCTGAGTGGGTAGACCAAAGTGTGTGTGGAAGCTGCAGGATGTTTTAAGCAGGGACTGTCCCTCTGGCTGCAACTTCCAGTCACTGGGTCTATGGTGGATGGGTTGGCTGAAACCACCCCCAGCTGTGTACTGAGGAGATCAGTGGTCTTGGCTTGGTCCAAGGTGGTAGTTCTGGGAGCAGAGTAAGATGAGGAGACACCATGGCTTTGGGGTGAGCTGCGGTGGTTAAGGGATAGTGAGAGTTGCTTTCTGCCTGGAGCATGGGAGCCCCCAAAAGGTTCCATTCCCTCCTACTACCCCAGAAGAAAAGATGAGGAGATTACACCTTCCACGGAGAATACGCTTGAACTTGACTTTACTTTCCCACTGTGTTTCCTCCAACGCATAAAGTACCACCACCAAGTTGGAGGCAATCTAAAGATGAAACCAGATATTCTCTGAACCCCAGGTGCTGTTTTAGGGACATTCAGTTCTGGGGTTCGAGAGCACATGGGATCATGTCATAGTGTCTTTCATGCATGAGCACAGACACACGTCTGTCCTTTCCCCAGTCTTTGTAAGGAAACAATCCTGAGTGAAAGCATTGATGGGGCTTTGTATGACCCAAGGCAGCTGTTTTTCTTATGTCCATCTCGTTGGCAAGTCTGTAAAATGGGTAGAACAACTTCACGAATGTTGTGCCGTGTTGAAGGGAACCTGAGGTGGAGCCTCTGAAACTGGACCTGGCTTCCCCAGTCTCCTTCAGCCGTATTCCTCTGCCCTGAGGCCTGGTCAGGGGGAAGTGACCCCGATGGCCTGAGAGGGAACCTTACCGCCTGGCAGCCAGCCTGCCACCAGATCAGAAGGGGGAGATGGAGAGTGGGGACACCAGATGTCCCTGGCTCCAGCCAGGGCAGAGAACAAGGCCATCTACATTGCAGCCCCTACTTCCTGGGCAGCCCAGCCTCCTGTGTCATGTGGCAGTGGCATCAGGTACATTCGGACATCGAGTACTTTCAGAGACCAAAGCTGCATCCAGAGTTGTCCTCAGGCCACCTCTGAGTCTGCAGGCTCCAGGCCTCCAGTGCAAACACCCTGCTTTTACTCCTGCTGTTCTCCAAAAGACCCCTCAAGTCTGACCTCCCTGGTCCTGCTGGTCAGCCCACTGGCTCCGCCTGGACAATGCACGGAGGCCAGGGGGCAGGGTTACTTATTTAATCATTATCTTGAAAGTAGAGGCAAAGTAGATTCTCCTGGCCCTAATGAGCAGGTGAAGAAACTAGGGCTCTCGAAAATGAATGACAGAAAGTCTTAGAGGAATGTGTGTTTTCTAGGGTTTGAGTTGCATTTGGGCTTGGATGGGGGATGGGGTTTGTCACCAGGAGAAATGTTGGCTTAACCTCCTATTCTGTACATTTCCTGAGCAAAAGCATCCCCCACCCTCTTGCCTTCATTGTCAGCTGGTACAAATGTGGCTAAGGGGCCAAGGTCAAGGGCTAGGATGCCAGCAACTTCCCAGGCAACCAGAGCTGCCATGCAGAGAGGCCTCTGGTAGGACTCTCCACAGTCAGGTGTGAACCAACCCACTCTTCCTCCAGGAAGAGGAGACAGGGCCGACTTTGAAGGGGTGCCGGCTAAGAGTGAGGCAAGGGCGTGTGCAGCCCTGGTAAGCTGTGGAGAGTCAGAGAGCCCTGTGCCAGCTTGATCCCCTCCAGGTCTAGCCTCAGGGCCTTTCAGAGCCACGTTGGTGGCTTGCTTGAGTGAACAGGGCTCAGAGCTCCGCCACAGGGGAGGCTTTCTGCAGAGACCCATGACTGTTGGTGGCCTGGTCGTGGTCCAGTGCCAACGGCCAAGAGTATCCAGCCTCTGACTGGGCACCAGGCCAGCTTGGGCTGGATTCATCAGGGAGGCAAAGTCGGGGTTGAGACTGATGCCTTGGGCAGTTGTGGGTTTGCATTCAGTTCCAGCATTTCCCGGCTCTGTGCCTTCTGAGTTTCAGTTTCCTTTCTGTAAAATGGGAATAAGGAGCCAGCTGACCTTGGAGTCACAGTGGTGATGGGAGCACAGTGACCTCTGCTGTTCATCGTGGTTATTGTTGCTGTTCTGGCTCTTAGAAGAGTGGGCTGCTTGCAGAGAGGGGCGTGGAGGACTGAAAGCGTGAGCCCAGTGCTAGGACCTGGGAATGAAACAGGGTATCTTCCCTGATCGACGTGTCCCCCCGAGGCCAGGCAAGAGGTTTGCTGAGACAGGCAGAAGGCAGGGCCACGCTGCTGCCACTAGCCTGAAGTCCCACTTTATGGTCAGCCTTTATGTGTTTTCCTTAAACTTCAGCCGCCAGCCTTGGCCCCAGCAGGCAGCTCAGGAAGGCATGGCCACTGCTGTCTCCCAGAGTTACTAACAGCTGACAAAAAAATTGCGGTGCCGATGAGCAGCCTGTCAAACGCCGACTGGTGTCCCCTAGCAACCGTGCTGGCAGTTCGGGCTGTGCAGGGCCTCCGTGCCTGTGGCTCTGGATCCAGTTACCAGGAGTTTACTCAAGAGCATGACCCGGCCTGGGAGGGTGGGGGCAGCTCTCAGACATCTGCCCCCCTCCCTGAGGAGGGACATGTGGGATCTTCTCAAGGCCCTATTTCTTCTACCAAGGAGAAGACCTTGCCCTCCCCATACTTGCCACCCACCTGCTTCCTTGTCAGGTTGGTCATACCCCATTTACTCTGTCCTCCGTGCCCAGATCATGTTCTTCTTGGCCTCCCACCAAAGCCTACCTTGTCCAAGGCAGCCTTGGCTTCCAGAACTCTGGCTCCTCAGCCCCCATAGCTCCCATATCTAGAATGTTTCCAACCCATTAGTGTCTGCATCTCACTGAAACCTAGTCGCCACCTCAAAGTGCTCCCTCGTCAGTAACCCTGTATCCTCAAATTCCCCTTCCTACTCAGCCTTCTGTTTCCCTGCTCAGCACCCCCTCCAGGCTTCCCACTCTTCACTGTCCCTGTTTTCTTCACCCCCACCCCATGTGGCATTATTAGCTCACTGCCTGTGCCCTTATCCCTGTGTGAAGGCCACATACCTGGCAGAGCCTTACCTGGTAGGAATCCTATAGTGGTGAGCAGATAAACCCCACCAAGGTTCCTGTCAGCCAGCCTTGTTCTGGGACATTCTAGACTCCCCAGCCTATCACCTGTCTGCACCCTGGCTCCACCTCCCTCAAGTCTCCCCCTTCTGGGCCCTCAGTGTTACCTCCTGTTCATCAGACCAGACCCCTCCAGCTTCTCACCTGGAAAGCCCTCCCTATCGATTTTCTGCCCTTTTTCCCCCATTCCCCCTTCCCCCAGCACACACGCTGCAGCAAGGGAGTCGGCCTTCCCTTCATGCCTGCTCAGTCTCCCAGATTTGAATCTATTTCACCTTCTGCCATCTCCAAAAGCACATCCTCCTTCCATGTGTCCTTCCAGGCATGGGACCCTCTGCCCTAACCCCCATCTGTCCCTCCCTGTCTTCCCTCACTGCTTCCCACTCCGGCCAGGCTCCTGCCACTACCATCTACTAGGGCCACCAACAGCTTCCCATCACCTACATCCAGTGGCCACTTCTCCATCCTCATCCTTCTCAGCAGTGGTTACCACAGTCAGACATGCCTTTGGTATTGAAATATGTTTTGTGTGGATGCTTTGACCAGAACCCCCCTTAATACCCTCCCGTTCTCTGCTCTCTCTGAGTGCTCCCTGTCCCCAGTGATCATCAGTTCACCACACTCCGTCTGACCTCTCAGCGGTCTGCTCCACAGCTCTGCTCCCCATCAGGAGGCTGATCCATCCCACACTCCTTTCTGAACTCCAGCCTCTCGTGCCCAACAGGCCCATAGGTCCAAGCCTGCCCCCCACAATCTCCCTAGTCTCCACAAATGCCCAACACTAGTCCAGTCTAGCTCAGGATAACTGGCTGGGAGCCCTCCCTGGCCTTCCAACCTCCTCACCCACATTCAGGCTCACTCTGTAAAACTTACTGATAACAAAACAATTTCCTCAAAATGTAAAGCCTGCTTTTATTACCAATCTGTAGTTTGGGGGGGACTTTGCTACTTGATTCATCTTTTTTTACTCTGATTTTTTTTAATGTTTAGTTATTTTTGAGAGACAGAGAGCACATGTGCAAGAGGGGGCAGAGAGAGAAAGGGACAGAGGATCTCAAGTGGTCTCTGAGCTGTTAGCACAGAGCCGGATGTGGGGCCCAAACTACAAACCATGAGGTCATGACCTGAGCTGAAGTCGGACGCTCAACCAACTGAGCCCCCTGGCACCCCACTCTGATTTTTTTAAAGAGAACTTCCTATGTTTATAATCAGAAAAAACAATAATGACAAGTGTCAGGAACCTAATAACCTGGATGAACTTCTAAGGTGATATTAATACTTCGTCCCCAAAAGCCATCACAGAAGTGGAACTCCACAACATTCAGTAACATGTAGCTATGTAACTAACAGTCTTGCGAGAAATTAGAGAAGTCATCGATGGTTCCAGGGTGAGGTGGGAACAAGTGGTCACATCATGACCAGTGTACCAACCACAGAAGGTGGGTATTGTTGGGATTCTCACAGAAAGAAGCATTCCTATCTTGCCTAACAGGAATCTCCAGATGGTACTGATTGTGTCATGCATCTTATCAGGAAAAACATGGAGCATTTACCTGCAATATATTGTATTTTTCATGCCTCATTCATATCTACAATTGTATATCATGAAACAAACATAGTCAGAATTTCTAATTGGATCAAAAAATATACCAGTACTTGCTTTAATATTTCCTTCCTGTGCCGTAATGAACTATCTAAGTCAGTAGCCTATGCAGCTCGCTTTGGAGGCCCCTGGCCTAGGGCAGTAATTCTCAGATTGTGTAGTGCTGTATAAAATCTGTTTGAGGACACAACCACCAGAGACTTTCACACTCCCCCAAGCCTGGGAATTTGTGTTTCTAACCAGCCACCCAAGGGATCTTGATGCCAGTAATTCATTTGGGTTTGCTGTGAGAAACCTTTTTGTAAAGTTTCAGATGAAAGAACAAAAAATATATAAAATCTGTATTTGAATAGAAAGTGATGAAGTAAGTAGTGGTTTCTTTGAAGGGAACTCTGCACCTCTAAAGCTCATGTCATTGTTAAGGATTAACGTTAGAGTAAGTTCGATGGTGGAATGTTTGGGAAATTTTTTATTTATTTATTTATTTTTTTAATTTTTTTTTTTTTCAACGTTTATTTATTTTTAGGACAGAGAGAGACAGAGCATGAACAGGGGAGGGGCAGAGAGAGAGGGAGACACAGAATCGGAAACAGGCTCCAGGCTCTGAGCCATCAGCCCAGAGCCCGACGCGGGGCTCGAACTCACGGACCGCGAGATCGTGACCTGGCTGAAGTCGGACGCTTAACCGACTGCGCCACCCAGGCGCCCCGGGAAATTTTTTAAAAGCTGGACTTTGAACTGTTTTTAGGTTTGATGTATTGACTGGTTTGTTTTGAGGCCTTCAAAGTCATGAGTCTGTCTACCTCTCTTCACCCCCATGGTCCCCATGCACATGAAGCCATGTGACTCCCAGGAGGGAAGCAGACCAGGTTTCAGGGAGAATAATGCTGAGCTGCTTGGATGCAGTGGACAGGGAAGGAAGGCCTTCTGGAGGTTCCTTTTTTTTATTATTTTTTTTTTGAGAGAGAGAGAGAGAGACAGAGTGCTAGCAGGGGAGGGGCAGAGAGAGAGGCAGACACAAAATTTGAAGCAGGCTCCAGGCTCAGAGCTGTCAGCACAGAGCCTGACACAGGGCTTGAATTCACGAACGGTGAGATCAGACCTGAGCCGAAGTCGTATGCTTAACCTACTGAGCCACCCGGGTGCCATAAAATATGTTTTCTTACAGTTCTAGAGACCAGAAATCCAAGATCAAGATGTTGGCAATGTTGATTCTGTCTAGAGACTCTGAGGGAGGATCTGTTCCGAGCCTCTCTCCTGGCTTCTGATTGCCAGCAACCCCTTAGCATTTCTTGACTTGTAGACCCATGATTCCATCTCTGTCTCTGTTGTTACATACCATTCTCTCTATATGTGTCTTCACATGGCCTTTTATGAGGACACCAGTCATTGGATTTAGGGCTCATTAATATGTGGTATGACCTCATCATAATTGATTATATCTGAGGTTCCAGGTAGACAAAATTTGCAGGAGGCACTGTTCAACCCAGGAGGGAAAACAGTGGAAGTGTTAACAGAGGGAGGATTTACATTTCAAGAAGATGATCTGGGATAGCAGAGGGGCCAGAATGCCTACTTGTCCAGATGGAGCCAGTGCAGGTGACCAGGAAATGGAGGGAGCTGATGGGAAAGAGTTATGTTCATCAGGGACTCATGGGGTGGCTCTGGGGGTGAGCGAGGAAGAGCTGGATCCTGAAGGGTGATGCCAGGGTCTCAGCATTTCTGCCTCACCCCACCTTACCCCCAGCTGCCCTTGGCCTAGCATTGTAGACACAGGGCCTTGCTCTGCCTCTCCCCTGCCTGGCCTTACTCTGGATCTTCATCCCCAGCTGATGCACTTCTGTGTGATCAACATCCACTCGTCCCTTTGTCCAGGAAGCCTTCTTGCCACCCCCAGGTCTGGGTCAGGGCTGCCTGGTCCTGTCAGTACTTGCTCTGCATCTCTCTGCCCTGCTGGGCAGCAAGCCCTCAGAAAAAAGGGACCTGATGGCATTGCCCACTGCTGAGCCAGGACGAATACCATGTGAGTTCCCAGAGCTGAAGCTGGTGCTTAGAGATGTGTGATTATGAGGAGCTCCTGAGGAAGTCCAGGATTTGAGAGGAAGCAAGGGCTCTTAGGCTGGGGCCAGGCAGCTGCCCCTTTGGGGAGGTATTTGCCTTGAATGGCCATGTCTGTGGTCTAGGCTGGGTACACACATTCTAAGGGTGGAATGCTCCTTAGAGTCCATACAGAGCCTGGAGCCGACATTCTGGGATATCCTTCACCACTGAGCTCAGGAAAGAAGGGAGGACATCCATGTCCACAGAGAGGTGTGATCACAGGTACCCCCAGGCCAGGAGAAATGGAAGTCATGATAACAGGCAGAGGCTCTGGAACCCATAGGTTTCCCCCAGGCAACTCAAGGTCATGCAGCCTGAACTCAGCTTTGAAGATGGAACCCATCTGCAGACGGAAGTACTGTCCTCAGCTGCACAGACCCTGGTGGGACCCAGAATTCCAGCGCACAGCTTCTGGCCATCTGTCCCTGCTTTGGAGGCTTCAACCTGAGCTGAAGACCATGGTGGAACAAGGAAATGTCTTGAGGGAGGGGCCCAGAAGTGTGATATACTCTGAGAGCAGCTGTGAGGGGATGGCACACTGGGGAAAGGCACCAGGTGGATGCGGAGCAACATGGCCCATCCTTCAGGTGCTTCCAGAACAGCTGCAGAGTGAGCTTAAGCAAACCGGTCTCCAAAGGACTAGACTCTCTTCCTAGCGGCCCTTAAGCAGTCAGAGAGGCCCCTGCCTTTCCTCCTGAGAACTTCTGTCTCAGGCTGAGTGAACATAGCCATGTGGAAGGGCCTTGGCCAGAGCAGGCATGGGCTTGGCTCAGGTCTTAGTGCAGCAAGTGGACATGGCACACTCAGCCCCAGGGGTCAGAGACTGCCTGACTACTCAAAGCTGCTCTGCTGGAGCTCTTTCTTCTCTGCACCATGGCCATTTGTGTCTCAGGATAGGAGTTGGCCTTGTCATGGTGTTTTTGGCTGAGGAATATCTTTGATGGACAAGAGTCCTTGGACAGGAGGCAGAGGGATGGAATTGGTAACCTTACAAGGCCCCACTGAGCCTGGGGGCACTGTGTAGGTAGGGGGAGGGCAGCCACAGGGGCAGCACGGCAGAGTGAGCCAGGAAGTTCATGCCTAGAGAAGGCAGGTAGAGTCACCAGCCTGAGCTAACTGGATGCTCTCCCTGCCTGCTCTGGCCCAGGCCCAGTGGGAGCCGCAGGGTCAAGGCTGTGCTTGGCCTGTGTTTTGGACCAGAGAACTGTGGCTCAGGGCTGAGGACACACTCAGGGCTTGGGAATTGATTCCTAGATGTCCCAGGCAGGTTAGGCAGCAGTGCCCCCCCAACCCTCACCCCAGGGCTGGGAGGTCAGATGTGGCTGCCCATGAGTAAAGTGGAAAACCTCTCTCTTGTCTCCTCAGGTTAGAAATCTGTGCTACATGGTAACAAGGCGTGAGAGAACAAAACACGCCATCTGCAAACTCCAGGAACAGATATTCCACCTGCAGATGAAACTGATTGAACAGGACCTGTGTCGAGGTAGGCATCTTCCCTGCCCCCCGCCAGCCACCGCTCAGCGTGCACACTCTCAATGGGCCAGGTCCCGAGGAGGGTTTGTGTATTCAGGTCCTAGTGGGGGCCACTGGCCCATACACAGACCTTCCAGAACCAATTAAGTAGGCCAAGTTGGGACCTACTAGGGCCTCAGTTGTATGTTGGTTGGCAAGGAGCCAGAGATGGGAATGTGGGCATCAGGCCTCTCCTGAGGAGGCTTTCTGGTCCACTAGGGATACGTAGGTAGTTCCAGGGCCATAGTGGTGCAGGAGTAGATTGCGCGTGCACAGTAGCTCTAAGCTGGTGTTGGGACAGGAAGGGGCCAGAAGCTAGAGAGCTTCCCTGAACCCCTGCGTGGCTTCATGTTGATCCAGCAGCAGGCAGCTGCTCCAGAGATGGAAGAGGACCTCTGTGTTCTTTCTCTCTGACCTCATCTGATAAAATTTGGATGCCTACTAGCAGTTCTTTTTGTCTGTTTTCTTCTTTTTTTTTAATTTTATTTTTTATTTTTTAACATTTACAACAGTGATTTCAGGAGTAGATTCCTTAGTGCCCCTTACCCATTTAGCCCATCCCCCCTCCCACACCCCCTCCAGTAACCCTCAGTTTGTTCTCCATATTTATGAGTCTCTTCTGTTTTGTCCCCCTCCCTGTTTTTATACTATTTTTGCTTCCCTTCCCTTATGTTCATCTGTTTTGTCTCTTAAAGTCCTCATATGAGTGAAGTCATATGATCTTTGTCTTTCTCTGACTGACTGATTTCACTTAGCATAATACCCTCCAGTTCCACATAGTTGCAAATGGCAAGATGTCATTCTTTTGATTGCCAAGTAATACTCCATTGTATAGATATACCACATCTTCTTTATCCATTCATCCATCGATGGACATTTGGGCTCTTTCCATACTTTGACTATTGATAGTGCTACTATAAACAAGGGGGAGCATGTGTCCCTTTGAAACAGCACACCTGTATCCCGTGGATAAATGCCTAGTAGTGCAATTACTGGGTCGTAGGGTAGTTCTATTTTTAATTTTTTGACGAACCTCCATACTGTTTTCCAGAGTGGCTGCACCAACTTGCATTGCCACCAACAATGCAAAAGAGATCCTCTTTCTCCACATCCTCGCCACGTGTGTTGTTGCCTGAGTTGTTAACGTTAGCCATTCTGACAGGTGTTAGGTAGTATCTCATTGTGGCTTTGATTTGTGTTTCCCTGATGATAAGTGATGTTGATTGTCTGCTTTCTTCTTAAACTCTTCCCGTGACATGTATTTAAGAGATCTGGAAATCTAAGGCCAAAGAATCTCCAGTGTCGCTGTTTTCTGCTAGTTGTGTGGATGTTGCCAGACACAGGGCCCTTCCCAGAGTGTTTACATGTTCAGAAGGGCAATGCTTAACTCAAAAAAGGTCCTCTAATGTAGAATACATGCAGCTTGGTGGCAAGATATTTTGAGCCAGGAGCTGCCGCTGCTAGTTCAGCCTCTGGGTCAGGCTAGGCCTGCAGTGGAGAGGAACCAGAGCTGTTGGGCCACCCCCAGAACGAATGACTGAGGACCTGGTACCGCCCCACCCTTGTCTGAGCCAAGCTGCCTCATTTGCACTTTGGGATCACCACCTACTCTGGCCCAAGGAACCAGCCCTGCCAAAAACAGGTCCTGGGTGAGGCCGGGCCGTGTCCATGCAAAGGTCAGAGCTTACCATGCATCCCCAAGACTGGCAGCTTCCTGGCTGCCAGAGCTCTCCAGGCTCCTTCTCCTCTGTTGATTTTTTCAGCGAGTATTAAAACTGAGTGTAGACAGGATGCCAGGCCCTGTGCCGGGTACTGCGGGGCACGCTGCCATGGGCGGAATGGATAGGCTTCCTGTCTTTGTGGAGCTCACCATCTGGAAAGATAAAGGAAAGTGGTGCCCAAGGGGCTGCAGTTGGCACCAGTGCAGGGACAGAAGTACCAGAGATGGCTTCACAGCAGTGGTGATCCTGGAGCTATGTGTCTGGCTTCTTAGGACCTCACTGTGGTGAGAGGTCCAGCTGCAGAAGGAGAGTCCCACAATCAGGGTAACAGAACGTGGCAAAGCCTGTAGTACCCTCAGGCACAGGATTACAGAAACGAGGTCAAGAGCCAGGTCTGCATCCCCACACTGAATCTGGGGACGTTTGCAGCTCCTGGAGCTGAGTGGCAGCATCAGGCATCCTTTTGTTCAGAGCGAGACATGTGGGGAGAAGACTGGTTTGCCTCTGCCCAAAACTGATGACCCCTGGGATGGGCATATGGCTATAAGCATATCGTCGAGGCCTGTCTGGCCGGAGCACTGGAGAAGCCTTCCTGTGGCAGTTATATTTAGGCCATGAACCAGTTGAAGAGCAGTAAAATTTGGAATCCTAGAGGCTGGAGCTTGTCTTTTTAGAGAAACTGGAAGGAGGCTGGCATAGCAGCAACTTGGGCAAAAGAACCACATCTCAAGTGAGGTTGGGGTCTTGCTAGGATCAGACGTGCAAGGTCTTGTAGCCTCAGAAGGAGCTCAGACTTTCCTGAGGGCACTGGGAAACCTTAGAAATCTCCCTCCAGAGCATGTAGGCAGGAGTGTCATGTCAGAGATGAGGATTCTGAGGTTGCACAGGGGATTAGTAGCACAGCTAGGGAAAGTCCATATCCCTCAAATTTCTTGTAAACCTTTATCTGAGAAGCGCTCCAGACTCCTGCTGAAAAACTTAGAAGATTTCTGGCAGCTGGGCCTCCCCTTGCAGATGTCCCTCTCCTGCTCCAGTGTTCCCTGTGGCTCCCTAAACCTATGTGGTCACGGACCAAAAGGATATAAGGGCCAGGTGTGCACCCCGAGTCTGCTATCTGCTGTGTGACCTTGAGAGCAGACCAAGAAGCCAAGGCAGGAGACTTGCTCATGGGACTGACCACTGTGGCTGGACTAGAACCCACATCTCTTGACTCCTCAGATAGTCCTCAGACTTCTCTCCACATCCATGTCTGGCCGCTAGGCCTAGCATTGAAGGCCCTGACCTGGCCACTCACCTGTAGTTACCCTTTGCACCCACCAGGACTCCCACCCCACCCCGACATCTATAGGCCATGTAGATGTCAGACTGCATTCCAGGTCCTGGAGGAGGGTCCTTCACCCACTTTGTGGCCCTGCGCCCTCCCCAAGCCATTCAAGGGCAGCAGTAGGCACTTACCTTCTGTTCCCCACCAGCTGTCCCTGACTCACAGGAGCCCCATTTATCCCAGGTCCTGGGGCTCTGAGCCTAGGACACATTAGCAGGGCAAAGTGACCTGGAAGTTGAGGCACAGGTGATAGAGGACTATCATATGGATGGCCCACAGTGATCTTGGTTTTGACTGAGCTGCTCGGGGTAACCGCCTCCCTCCTGCTCTCTCTTTCCCTGGCAGAGGGGTCTGGGAAGAGAGCAAAGGGCAAGAAGAGCGACTCGAAAAGGAAAGGCCGTGAGGGCCCGAAGGGCAGCCCCGAGAAGAAAGAGAAAGTGAAGGCGGGGCCCGACTCAGTCCTGGGGCAGCTGGGTGAGTGAGTGGCCACACTGGCCTGGCGGACATGGCCAGGCTTACACCATCACTCCACTTGCAGCCCCGAACCTAAGGCCAGCAAGGTCCACCAGCACTTCTGTTGCACAGAGTAGGAAGCCCAAGAGGGCTAGCCAGGCCCTTCCATGCCCAGGTGCTCATACCTTTTAACCATAAAGGAAAGTAGATAGGGTCTCTGTCCCATCTGGCATCCCAAGAAATTCCCCTTTTGTACATCTGGAGGCTGGGCCAGGGTTTCAGGAGCTGCCCTCACATTCTCTTAGCCAGACTCCTAGAGTCCCCAGGGGACATGTGGGCCCTCTGTGCCCTTACAGAATGTAGCCCTATGCTGGGAAATGAGGGTCAGCCAGAATTCTCCATCCTGGTCCCGCTCTGCTGGAATTTCTCAAATGAGCCCTCCCTTCAGCACTAGGGAACCTTCCTGGAGCCACCCAGAGAGACCCAAAGGAGTGGCCATAGGTATTGGCCCAGTACATGGTCAGTCACAGACTCCTTAGTGCTCCTACATTAAGCAGAACAGCCCTTGAGCCCTCTACCCACCCCCCCCACCCCCAGCTTTGGGCTTTCTCTCCCAGGGTATCACATGCTTCCCCTAGAACACTTCCTCAGGGATGACAGTGGAATTATCCAGACCTGTCTCCAGCAGGGAAGCCTCATGTCATCTTGTATGTCCCTCATTCTCAGGAATGGGACCACTTGACCAGTTGGGTATCAGAAGGAAGGCCCAGTTTCACCTGCTGGCCCTGACATCCAAGAGGGACCTTCTACACAGATGCACTTGGCTACCCTATCCAACTTGTCTGCTTCAGAAATAATTCTCACAAAAAAACAGCGCCCCCTGGTGGCCTGAGGCGTTTTCCTTCATTCCTTCATCCTCTGCGTCCCCGGGATGGGAGAGGTGCAGAGCCGGCTTCATGGGTGTGTGTACCTGTGCAGTCTCAAAGGGCTCTTGCTTGGTTTAATGCTCTACTGTTGTCACCTTGAAATACCTTAATAATTTTTGAACAGGGAGCCCACATTTTCACTTTACATTCTGGGTTCCAAATCATGAAGCCAGTTCTGGGAGTAGGTTGTCCTGGGGAGAGGGGTATATGGTGTGGACCCATATAGTCCCTCTTTGGTGGTGTTGACAGGAGGGATCAGCAAACAAGATGGCTTAATTGGGTCTGGCAAGAGGAAGAGAGGGAGGGAGGTGCACAGTGGCCTGCTGGGGAGGGTCCGGGAGGGCTTCCTGAAAGGGTGGGATACACACCTACGAGCGTCTCACTTGCTTCCTCTCTCCCCTTGGCCAGGCCTATCCACCTCATTCCCCATCGATGGCACCTTCTTCAACAGCTGGCTGGCGCAGTCAGTGCAGATCACAGCAGAGAACATGGCCATGAGCGAGTGGTCACTAAACAATGGGCACCGTGAAGACCCCGCCCCGGGGCTACTGTCAGAGGAGCTGCTGCAAGACGAGGAGACACTGCTGAGCTTCATGCGGGACCCCTCACTGCGACCTGGGGACCCTGCCAGGAAGGCCCGTGGCCGCACCCGCCTGCCTGCCAAGAAGAAGCCGCCGCAGGACGGGCCTGGCTCACGGACGACTCCGGACAAATCCCCCAAGAAGCCCTGGGGCCAGGATGCAGCCAGCGGCAAGGGTGGTCAGGGCCTAGTGGCCCGGAAACCAACGCGCCGAACGCCTTCCCACCTGCCGTCTAGTCCCACAGCTGGGGACTGTCCCATCCCAGCGGCCCCTGACAGCCCCCCTCCTCTGGCCCCCGAGACCCTGGACGAGGCAGCCCCAATGGCTGCCGACTCGAATGTCCAAGTGCCTGGCCCTACAGTGAGCCCCAAGCCCTTGGGCCGGCTCCGGCTGCCCCGAGAAAACAAGGGAACCCGGAGATCGCCAGGTACCAGGCCTGATGCTGGGACAGGACCGCCCTCTGCTGTGGCCGAGAGGCCCAAGGTCAGCCTACACTTTGACACTGAGACTGACGGCTACTTCTCTGATGGAGAGATGAGCGACTCAGATGTGGAAGCTGAGGACAGTGGGGTGCAGCGGGCTCCCCGGGAAGCAGGGGCTGAGGAGGTGGTCCGCATGGGGGTACTGGCCTCCTAAGTCACCCCCACCCTGTCCCAGGCCCTGCCCTGGTCCTCCCACGAGGCCTCAGCCCAGTCACAACTGCCATTTCCAATCTCTGCTGAGTGTCTCAGATCCTTGAGACTGCCACTCTGTTGTGGTTTTATTTTTAATATAGAGAGAGTTTTGAATTCCACACTGTTGTCTTTCCTCTGTGCTGGCCTAGGACGTTAGAATTCCTTCCACGGCTCTGGCCGCAGGGGCTCTAGCAGGTCCTGTGCCCCATCCCCGCCGCGGCAGCACCCCGCCCCAGCCCACGCGGCATTGCTGGGCTCCTGGCTAGATGTAGGCGAGGCGAAGAAGAGCTCAGGACTCCAGCCCGCTGCCACTGGGTGACACAGACCGTCGTTTGGGCATTATTTCATGGCAGATGGGCCAGCCCAGGGCCTGCCCCGCCTTGCCCCCAAATTCCACTGGGGTCCATTTGGCGGGTCCTGCTGCACTCCACTGATCCCCAAGGAAGTATAATAAGTGATCCCCAGCCAGAGTCTACTCACTGTCACAAGCACAACGAGCTTATACAAGAAAGCACTGAGGGGGCGCAGAGGGCCCGCTGGTTCCAGAGGAACCACCGCTGTTCCTGATCAACCCACATCATCTGAGGCCTGCCCGCCCACCCCGCGACCCTCCACTCCCTTGCTGCTCCACCCCTGCCAGTGCCCAGCCCGGCGGCTCTGAGAAGGGGTTCCTAGAATCCTTCCTGAGCTGTGCCATTTACTCAGGGGACTCCCAAACAGCCAGCCAGCCGCCAGTGCCGGTGGAGGGCTGCAAGGGAGGGCCAGTGCCCAGACAGGGGCGTGGGGCTCAGACTCCCCCCACTTAGAGAATTGCTCTGGGGCTCCAACTTCCTTCCTTCCTTTGGGGCCAGTCTCGGCTGACGTCTGGTCACTCCCAGACAGCTGACCTGACCAGACCAGACCGTTTGCCTTTTCAAATTTTCCAGTCCTGCTATGAGATGAGCTTCTTCCTCGGTTTCCTTTTGGAAACTCCTCCTTCCAACAAGCAAGTGGGATCCCGGGGCCCGGGGCAGGCCATGTTGGCCTGCTGTGGCTGTTTCAAGTCTTGCTGGATGTTCCTGGTTCCTCTGTCCCTGTGAGCCGTTACCCCCTTCCCTGGTTCTGCCCTCCCTACCCACCACCACCCACCCACCTTTTCTGTCCCATCCCCTAGGTCCCAGGTAGTTGCTCTGAAGAGTGTCAGTGGAGTGGCCCCAGGGTGATAGCTCAGGGAACAAACAATAAAAGGAATTCAGTGAAAACATGGTTTTTTTTTTGTTTTATGAATTACTCCTGGGTCACTTCCACCACTGGTGAAGCCAGAACTTCTCCGACAAGAAATCTTGCATAAGTCCAGTGAATCAGTCGAATCATTCTGTGGATGCCAAAGAATATTTTGACCATAATACAGCACAGCCTGGACCTGACAACTTGTCGCTTGGACTTTTTTTTTTTTTTTTTAACGGAGTTCTTTAGCAACAAAGTGTAGAGAGACATGTTCATTGTACACACCCAAGGAGAGGAGCCCAGGCTCTTGGAAGAAGATGTTGTTCTGCTGCTGAACCGTTGGAATTGGGACGCGGGAACCAGGTGTTGGGACTCCGGTCCTGGGCTGGGCCCACTGTGAGCTTTCCTAAACTCTGAAACTCACAGAGGGGAAGAACAGTGACAGCAAAACCAGCATGGCAAAGGTCTTCACCATGTGGTTCTCCCCACACAAACACTCAACGTGCAAATCGGCGGGATGGGCAGCAGCTTGACCACCCACCCCTGACTCCAGAACTTCCAAGGTACGACAGTGGCATTGTCATCGACACACGGTTTCATGTGAATTTTAGCAAAACGGGAAACAAAGCTAGGACTCAGTTCAGAAGATCAGGCAAATGTGTCCAGTTGGAGTGGACTCGGGGCGGGCTTCAAGGATTCTGGGCGTTGGAATGGCACAAGCTACCATGTGGAATTTAGTCTGCCTGCCGTCTTGGTAGTAATGGCCAGTGCAGTGTCCGCACCAGCGGCCCATCCCCGTTCTCTGTTTACTGCCTTTGAACAGTCCTCCTTCCTTCCCCGTGCTTTGGGTCACAATCTTGTCTGTGCCAGATTGCCCAGTCTGACCTCACAGGGAACCAAGTGAGGAGCTTAAAGAACAACCAAACTCTGCCAGGGGGAGAGGTGGGGTGCCAGGAATGGCTCCTGCCCAGTAGACTCCACGCTTGTCCCCCTCCCACCGCTTCATGCATATGGAGGCGAAGTCTGGGCTCCCTGGGGGCAGAGGCTAGGGCAGGAGGGCAGGAGAGAACACGGAAGGGAATATACTGCAGCGTGTCTGGCTGGGGTCAGGAAGGGCAGCCAGCACCCTTCAGGGGTACTCCACCCAAGTTGGCCTCTGGATTCCCTTCTGTGTTGGCTCTTGCTTTGGACTGGACTATCCCTGGGACTGTGTCCTGCGCAGGGCTCAGGGATCTGTTAAGCTAGCTGGTGGGGGAGGTGGGAGAACCTTAACTCCCAGACCTGGCCCCTAGAGCTATTCTTGCCCCACAGCTGTCCACCTCTGGGATGTCCAGCAAGACCACACAGAGGACAAGGATACTGGTTCCCACCATTAGCCACAGCCCTTTTCACTCTTTTTCCCATCTCCTGTCCACAGTGTAGACAGCTTTGCCAACCCTGGGGTTGAGGCGGGAAGCAGGGAACGAGACAGAAGTCCTTTTGCAGGCCAGAGGCTGAGGCGGATCTTTTGTTTGAGCACCTCTGCCCACCATACTCACTGGCCCTCTCCCAGGAGGGAGAAGCTCCTATTACTCCTCCTGGCTGCCATCCACCCTTCTCCTGGTCCTGGCTGCACAGTCCTCCTCCTCATCACAGCCAGGAAGGATGAGGTGCAAGGAAAGTATTTTTATGGATCACAAATGTATTTTAAAGTCAATAAGGAGAAGAAAGGTAGAAGGGTTTATTTTATTAAATGAGCTCTGACTTTGTGACAGTGTATGAGCATTTGCTATGTCAGGGTCTCGGTTTCCTTAGAGAAGCCACCTGGGTTTCCGGACGTGAGTGCCAGTCTGTAGGTATGCATGTGTCAGGGCACGTCTCGTGTGTCCACATACGTGCATGTCTGTGTGTTGTGTTTGGGCATATTGTGGGACCTGCTGGGGCAATTTCTAGAGCATCGACTGCCCGATGATACTAACAGACATTGGCAGCAGCTGAACTTGGCATTTCCTTGCTCACTGCCAGATGTGGCCAACCTCTGGCCATGCCTGAAGCTCTGCAGAATGGTCTGGATGCCTGTACCAAGGCCCTTGGGGAGGCCACTTCCCATGCCCCTGGCCCAGCTGGCCACATTGGCCAAAGAGCCAGGGCTGGAGTCTGGGACTTTTGGTTGTTCTTTAAGGCACTTCCTGCCACCTTGTCCCTCAGATGCACAATACTCTGTGCTCCACAAACGGCTCGGGGTGGGGGGATGATATGAATGTCACAGGAGGAGACACCTTCTGTCCTTGTTTCAAAGAAAGTGATGTGCCATTTGTTAATATACAAGAGAAATATTGAAAATATATTGAAAAGAGCAATTTTAAATTATTTTTGGCTTATGTTGCAATATTTATTTTCTTGTATTAGAAAAGATTCCTTTGTAGAGAAAAAATGTATTTTTCATTAACGCAAAGACCTATTTCTCCTTTTTGTACATTGTCCATGTTCGCTACCCTTAACGAGCAATAGAATGTATGGCCGCTTTGCCGTGGCCAGTGCCCACCATGCCCTGCATGATTCTGTGTTGCCGCTGCTGCGTAGCTCCTAGTCCCATCCTGTCCCACTCACTCATGAGGGTTTCCAGACCCTGGCCCCAACCAGGGCCTGTGTCTCAAGGAGCCCTTTGCACTCCTCGTGTGTTGGCAAACGCAGTTAATAAAGCAATGTTTTCTGTGCTGGCTGGTGTGCGGCTCTGTTACATTCAGGGGAGGAGGGGGTCCACAGCCACCAGCCGGCTAAGTGAGTCAGCGAGTGCTCTCAGCGCGTCCCTCGGAACCTACTGCTACCTCGTAAAGAGTGCTAACAGGGATGGGCATAGCGCTCAACACCCATACTGTATTTCAGGGCAGTATTTCATTTGTTTCTTGATGTTGGCATCCCCCGGAATTCAGAGCCGGTGAGGGAGGTACCCAAAGCCACACCTCTGATAAGAGGGGAAATTCAGTGTCACAGGCTAGACTGCTGTACTCTTCCCACCTCCCGTGAGCCACCTTCCTGGGACAGTTGGTAGGTTCGCCAGGAACCTTGGGCATCTGTCCCTACATCAGGAGAGATGTTGGCCCAGGTGTGTGTTTTCCATTCATTATTTCCTGAGCACCTGCTCCATGCCAGGCTCTGGAAAGTGTTAGGAATGTAGCTACCATCCCTGCCTCCCAGGGCAGCTCACAGACCCAACAGGGATGCAGATGATGAGGGAACTGGGAGATATGGAGGCCTGGGCTGATTGGGGGATGGGAGGCTTCAGGAAGAGTTTCCCTAAGGAAGAGACACCACGCATTCATTTGGCCATTCAACAATGAATCTATCAGCCATATACCTCGTTCTGCCAGTGTGGTGGGTTGTATACCACTAGGGTCCCGCCATCTAGAGCTTCCAGGCAGTGGAGACCTGAAGAATAAACAGTTGCTTGGTCAAGGGCAGCTGGATTAAAAAGGGACAACAGAGTTCCTGAAAGGGCTCAGCATGTGCAAAGATGCATCAAACTGCAAACTAGGAAGGGGTCTTGAACCTCCCCTGAGAGCCCCAGGGGAGGCAGTTTGGGAAGGGGGTTGAATTGGGACTCAAGCTTCTGGGACCACTGACTTGGTTGTTTGCTGTTTTGTCACTGGTGCAATGGGCAATAGGTCCCCAAGGGTGCCTCCAGATCCAAGGTTCTGTGACTCCACACAGCAGAACACATGGGAGCCAACCCAACTGGCTGGCCTTCGGAGCTGTCTGCTCTCTGGGCCAGCTGCC